ACTGGTCCTAGACTAGTATCATCAACTTAAAGAGGGACGGAGAGAAGTAAGCACCTTGTTCAAGGTCAGGCAAAAAGAGGGGGAAATCCTGAGGGATTTCTACGAGCGATGGGTCTCAGTGGCCATAGCGGTGAAGGATGTGTTTCCACCAGTGCTAGGGTGTTGTTTCGAGGAGTGCACGACGAGTGAGGAACTGTGTTGAGAATTGTCAAAAAAGAGACGTCCCCGATATTGATAATTTAGATAAGAGAGTTCAGAAAGTGATCATGTTGGGAGAGAACCTAACAGCATGGTGCACAGACAAACGAAGAACAGGATGAAGGAGCTCAGAAGTGGACAAGCTCCTAGATGATTCATTTAGAAATTATGTACACGACATGACTCTTGAACATGGTGTTTGTTTCGATGGCCTTGGGAAACCCACAGATGTATATAGATTTAAGGGACCTATATAGGGCATGCTTAATGGACGTTTACAAATGCCTCAAATCGATTTGCTAGTTGATGTAACGACCTAACACGCGACACTCAGCCTCTTGGACATACTTTCAGAGTATTACCAAATATCCAATATGGTTAAAATAATATTCATGACTCCGTTCGGTAAATTTTGTTATCGAGTGATGGTGTTTGGCTTAAATAACGTATGAGCAACGGACCATCACATGGTAAATAGCATAGTTAAAAAAACAAATTGGAGGAACGTTGATGCGTATGTTGACAATCTAATCGGAAATAGTAAAGGGCACAACTATCACCTGCAAGATCCGAGGGTGACATTCAAAATGATGCATGGTTTCAGGCTACAACTCAACCCACTCAAGTGTGTTTTTGGTGCTGAATCAGGTTAGTGCCTAGGCTTCATGATAACACCTAAAATAGGTGTTATTTTGCCCTCATTATCAAGGCATTTGCGTGTTAAATCACCATGTCTAGACCACATATTAAGCTAATTTAGGCCTATTTTCTTTCCTATTTGCAAAACATTCATTTTGGCATGAGTTTGCTTGATATGAAGGTATTCATGGGGAATCGACCCATTTTGTCCCATTTTATGCTTTTCCAGTGTTTGGGATAAAATTCCAGGACTTATATTCATTAATAATCGACTGAGAATCGATTGTAGTTCATCTGGGTAGGATTGGAAAGCATAAGAGTAAGAAGGGAAGACACAAGACATGTCACGACCCTTGACCAGGCCGTGACCATATTCGCGGCCGAGAATAATCGCCTATAACTTCAGCACGTTGCCAACAAGAGGGCAGAAAGTTCTAATTGTGAAAAAAAAATCACGGCTATGATCTTACGATGGAGGTCGCTATCTCAGAACTTGAAGATGAAGTCAAAATGCAAAGTTACAGGCGAGTCGACATCTTTCCTAGCTAGTCACAGACTGTTTATGGCCATGAGCATCGCATCACTCCTTCGAGGTCATCACTAGTGCCAAAACACTATAAACAACCCTTTTCTGAACTTGACAAAGGAGAGCCGACTTTGAGAGAGAAAATTAGGGGTTTGGGTAGGTTTTAGAGGGAGAAACCTTGAGAGTGTTTAGAGTAAGATCCAATCCACCCAAGGAGCAAGAAGAATGTGCAATCCAGGGAGAAGAAGATGATTTCCACGATTCCTCCTCTTCCTAGTTTGTATTTTCTCTCTCTATGACTTGAATCCCCATGGTTGTTTTAGGATAGATGAACTCTAGTTTATAGTTTGTATGTGGGTTTATTTATGGAATTTGTTTGTTTCACTAATTCTATGCTCCATTTATCCTTGATTATGCTGGAGCTTGTCTCACCAACTCTTCTTTACTAGCCTACAACTGTCTTAAAATTAGGTGGGAGATTTAGAGCTAGACTGGATTTGAGCTCCTTAAGGCTAATTAAGGGTAGATGAATTGATATGATCCTAAATGGCTCAATCTATGAATCAGAGTTGCTTGGCAAAGAAGCAACTTCAACTAGCATGAAGAACATTAAAAATTGGCCAAGTGTTGAGATTGTTTCAGGGGACCAACTTTGCAGGCTTGGTTCTCACAAAGGGCTCGATGAAAAATCAGGATTAACGGCTTGTTTTGAAGCTGGAGTATTCCTCTACAAGCTAGAATACGTGGGTTCTTGAGGAGAAGCCAGGAAAGTTATTTTCAAAGCTGCTCAAAAGCCTCGGCCAAAACCGAGAAACTGCCTGAAAATGGCCAAGTATGGAAACGTGATTGTGAAGCCTACTTTGGATCTCCATTCGAGGAAGAGGATTCAGAATCGAGTCAGAAGCTTCATACCACATGAAAGTACGTATGTTAATCTACAAAGACAAGACAAGACATTGAGATTGCCATAAAATAATCCTTCGGATTAGGATTACTTTTCTGTTTTGCACTTTGTTTCCTTTTAGTTATTGGTTTTGAGTAACTTTTCGATCTGTAACCTAGTTAGGATTTTCTTATGAGTTGCTGGACGTAGTTAAGGTCTATTTAAGTTGAGTCTTTCGTTGTAATTTTCATTTTTTGAACAATTGAATACAAACCGAGAGTTTTGGTTCATCGAGCTTGTTTGCTTGACGAATTGAATCGGATTGCTTTGTGGATTCCGAGCAACCGCGAGCTTGTATCAATCAGTTTATCACCCTGATAGTGGCCAAGCATCAACCTACAGTTTTCGAGCCTCTTTCACTTGTGAAAGTTTCAAGAAACTTTGCATCAAACACACAAAACCAAGCCCCTATTTTTGTGTGTTCTTGTCCGAGGAAGGTTAATTCTTTGAATTGACCTTAGCTGCGTTAATTCTGACCAAAACAACCCCCTAGGGTTGTATTAAGTGGCATCACGAGCCTGGTTCAACACAGTGGCAATCACGAAGAAAAAGAATCTACATGTTGCAACAAGAACAAGGCACAAAGATCCGATTGCCCTGTGGAAACCCGAAGAATCCAAGTCTGACGAGGAGGATCAATCGAATGATCCATCAATGGTGGGACATCAGTTCAATATGGAGGAGTTGTTAGCCCAGATTGATGCAATATTTCAGGCTGGGGTTGGCAAATTCAGGTGTGAAATTGACAAGAGGTTTGATGCAATCCCACTGCTGGAATATGACGTCACAACAAGAGCAGTTCACGGCTAGGGAAACCCAGTTGGAAATCCAGATTTGGTGGGAAGCCCCTATTTTTGTGTGTTCTTGTCCGAGGAAGGTTAATTCTTTGAATTGACCTTAGTTGCGTTAATTCTGAACAAAACAACCTCCTAGGGTTGTATTATGAAGGACTTAGGGTTCCATTTAGTGGACGAGGTGATCGTACCCTTGATAAAGGAACGCCTTCCTAAGACAATGAGGTGATCGTACCCTTGATAAAGGAACGCCTTCCTAAGACAATGCTAGAATGAGGCAAGCATCATCGATCCATCGCTTTATTATGCATGATAGGTTGAACTTATTGAGAGGAACTAGTGGTCATTTCTTAGTATGTGAGCTTTGACTAAGGTGACAATGACAATGGGTCTCCGAGAGCGTACTAGGAGGAGGGAAGTAATCATTGAAACTCTCAGTTGAGCGGGTTCTGCACCTTCTTTCCTCAAACCCCGTACCAACTATAGCTAGAGGAATTCAAACCCAGGAAACTATCTAATCCTAGAGGTCTCCCAACCACTTGGTTTGTTATTTTTTTATGCTTTTAGTTAGGTTAGATTAGAAACTTCACCCAACCTTCCGATTTGATTAGATAGTAGTTTGGAGCACAGTAATAGTAAGCCTAGGGTTCCCATGGAATACGACTGAGCCACTTGGCTATTATCCTATCTTAGTTATACTTGGATTCGTTAGGATTGACTAGTGAGTGTGCTTCGGCTTTAGAAATTTAAAACTCGATCGAAGCAGTGATTAGTTCTTAGATGAATGCCAAGAAGTTTGAGGCTTATTGGGTTGATTTCCACCTTTGTGGCCATTAGGTAGGAAATTGCCTACTATGTGTTTGTTCAAATGCCCCAAGGAGTTAGATTGTTTGGTTTATGATAACTTTTGACGAATTTTAGCTTTTTCGACGATTTTATAGTCCCCTAAGCTTACTTAGCATGGTTATGGTTGGTTTCGAACATGTTTACCATATAACGCTTTATTTGAAAAAATCAGTTTGACATGCTTTGATATGGCTTTGGTGATATCTATTGTGTGATGTTGAGTTGCGACTTAGATGGTTTGTGGTTTTAAATGCAACATTTGAATGACATAGGGGTTGTTTGGATGTGGAAATGTAATGCAGTAATTGGACCCAATTACTATATAATGCAGTAATTGGGTTAAAAATCCACGGTCGGGAGGAGCAAAAATGGTATGGAAATTGGCTTCAATTACCACATTCATGGTAATTGAGAATACTACACCTCCCCCTAGTAATTTGACATAACCACGTTTTCTTACTTCTTTTTTCAAATTCCACACCATCAATTCCCACAAAACTAAACCCTATCCAAACGTGATTTTTTTTTCAATTTCCACAAGTCAATTCCTTGGTTTTGTAAAACATTGAAATTCAGATAAATTTCAACGTTTTAAAATTTCCACATCCAAACGACCCCTATAGAGTTTACTTCAATTATCACTTTGATCATTTGAACATAAGATCACCTCATTTTAATGTTGTTAAAAACCTATGGAGCATGTTTTTTTGAATTTTGTTGAATTGGTTGTTTACATAGAGTTTGAGTTTTTGTTTGAAGAACAAGTGTGGGCGAATTGTTCTTATTGAGTTCCTTTAAGAGGTAGTGGACTTGTGTGCCACTTGTGATGTTGTTTGAATGTTTTCACAGGATCATGGCCCCTAGAAATGCTCGACAACATCCTACACTCGTGGATCTTAATGAAATAATCCAAATGACTGTGTTAGTGAATCATTTGATGGAGAAGGATCTTGGGATGGATAGAAACTTAGCTTGGAGGGGCATTCGAGCCACCAAACTTTAGGAAGAGATTGGAGAGATCCTGGGCCATGGTGAGTGGTTAACACTACTCTCCATGAGGGACTCCATTTACAAGGAGCTGACGGTGGAGTTCCTAGTGAACTTCAAGTGCCTCCATGGGACCAACCATGATTTCATCTTCGACGAGGAGGGCATGGACACCTTCACACTCGGAGGTGTCATGAGGAGTATGAGTTTCACAGCTTTCTATGTGGCACTCGGTATTTACTCCGAGGAGTTCACTAGGACCCAGGTCTACCGCGACTTGAGGAGAGAAGGAGATGCAGACTATAAGGTGCTTCTTCAGCCTTGGAGGAACAACCTCTCCAATGTGAGCATCACCACCAGATGGACGACCAAGAATGCAAGGAGGACCCAACTCATCTCGGTGACGGGCATCTGCCACGACATCATTGGCTACTCTCTCATATGAAAGAATGAGAGCGGAGGTAGTGTCTCCACCAGAGACCCGTACATGCTTCACCACCTCCATGCATGAGTCCTAATACACTTGAGACAGGCAGTGGTCCATTTTTTTGTCCAAGTGGCTATGAATAAGTGTGGTAAGGTCCATCTGCCACGACATCATTGGCTACTCTCTCATATGAAAGAATGAGAGCGGAGGTAGTGTCTCCACCAGAGACCCGTACATGCTTCACCACCTCCATGCATGAGTCCTAATACACTTGAGACAGGCAGTGGTCCATTTTTTTGTCCAAGTGGCTATGAATAAGTGTGGTAAGGTCCATGGCAGAGCATATCTCCCCCAAATGGCTCAGCGCTTTGAGGTGGCACCCCGATACTTCCATTCTCGATTCACATCGATCAACATGCCCTTCACCTCCGGAGCTCTATCTAGGATGGGATTCGTCACTACTCATGTGCCGATTGATGAGCACTACGATGATGCTGAGGCACAAGGAGATGATCAAGTGATTCCACCTCCACCTCCACCACATGATGATGCCAACCATTACACTACATGACTCACCGGTAAAATAGATGCTTTTGAGGCGAGGTTTGCTAACATCGGTGGATAAGAAGGACTACATCTTGGCTAAATAGCATAGCCAGATAAGGAGACAACAGAGGATCATGGACTACTACAAGCTCCCATATGGTGACAAATCTGAGGCATCTGACAACGCCATACACTAAGACTTCTATGGCACGGGTGTCATCGAGGGCCATTTCCCTACCTTTTCTCGTCTTCCTTTTCATCTATTCGGCATGGGCGACTGTAATCGGCTTCGCTATGTTGCACCGAATCTGGTTGATGGGGAGCTTGTCATTCCCAGGGCGGTTCACGATGAGGGAGCGGTCAGATGGCGCAATGCTCTGGTGGGTCAGTTTCTCATGGTGGCGACTCCGATTGCTATCATTCGTCGATCGGCTCAACGTTTCTGGGGAAGAGATGGTAGGGGATGTGGGGGAAGCTGTTGTTGCCAGCTTTTCTACACCTTTGAGGAATGATCTGATGGATGCAGAGGGGTTTCAACTAGTAGTCCGCAAGGGTAAAGGTGTATCTGCAGGTCGTGATCAAAGCAACAATGTTAGAATCCCGACCTCGGTAGTTAGTTCTCGAGTGCCGCTGAATCCAAAGAGTATTGAGCTTGTGATTCCTACTTCTCCAAAGAAGGGTGGGAAGAACATGAGGAAAAGGTAAATGAGATTTCTCTGTTGGAGTCTCAGGGGATTCAATGCCCCTAAAAAACATAGATACGTAAATAAACAAGTAGTGAAGTTACAAGTTGATTTTTTTGCTATTTTGGAAACTAGAGTATTAAAGAATAAAGTACAGGATAGGGCAAAGTTGTATGCTGAGTTGAGACAGTTGGGAGTGGCTAGTGAGCCTGGAGTCTGGATAGGGGACTTCAATGCTATTGTTCAAGATAGTGAAGCCTCAAATCGTCCTGGTTTTAATTAGAGTATGGAAGATTTTCGTCACTAGATTCAGGATATGCAACTTACAGATCATAAACCATTGGGTTCATGGTATACTTGTTGGATAAACATGTTAATAATTCAATTGCAAGGCGGATTGATAGGGCCTTGGTTTCTGAGAATTGGTTGGATATGTTTCCAAATAGTCTGCTGCAAACTATTGCTCCTGTTCTTCTTGTCAGATCATTATAGAGGAAACTGGGAGAGCAAAGAAGGCTCAAAAGTCTGAACAAGGCTGTCTATTCTGATCTATCAGTTTGAACAAGGGAAGCAGAAGCGGGGTTGGAGGTTTTGCAGAGTATTATGCTTTCTGATCCCTCTGAAGTTAACTCACAGGCTGTACTTGAGCAGGAGAAAATGTGTAGGGATCTCCAGAGTGATGAGGAGTCTTTTTATAGGCAAAAGTTGAGGGTCCAATGGATCACTTGAGGGGATGCTAATACTGAGTTTTTTCATGGTACGGTTGAGCCCAGGAATCACAAATTGACTATTCAGAAATTGCTAACTGATACTGGGGAAGTAGTAACTGATGTGAAAACAATGAGTACAGTTGCAGTGGATTTTTACAAGGGGCTACTGGGAAATGCAGACACCTCTATTCAGCAAATCCCTAGTGTATTTTTTGAGGATCTATTGTGTATGAAGCTTACTGATGAGGATGTTGCTTTACTGACCACTCCAGTTACTAGGGGCAGAACTTAAGAATGTTTTCTTTGGGATGAGTAATGACAAAGCACCAAGCCCAGATGGATAAATTGCAAAATTTTTTAAGTTAGACTAGGAGATTGTGGGGACTGAGGTAGGAACACAGTGCTGGAGTTCTTTAAAACTGGAGTTATGCCTCGACGGGTAAATTCGACAGTTATCTCTCTTATTCCCAAGCTTCCAATTGTTGAATGAAAGAAAGATTTTAGGCCTATATCCTGTTGCAACGTGATCAATAAGGATATTTCTAAGCTATTATCTAACAGACTGTCATTGGTTTTACCACTGCTAATTAGTAGAAGTTAGTATGCTTTTGTCAAGGGCCGTCTAATTAGTGATAATATACTAATGGCCACAGAGCTAGTGAAGGACTATCATAGGAGTAGAATATCTCCTAGGTGTGTCCTCAAAATTGATCTAATGAAAGCCTTTGAATCGGTTGATTGGATTTTTCTATTTAAGGTTATGAAGACTATGGGTATGCCAGAAAATTTTGTTAAACTGGTTGAGTCATGTGTGCAGACTCCTATGCTTAGTATATCATTCAATAGAGGATTATGTGGCTATTTCCTTGCAGCTAAGGGATTGAGACAGGGGGATCCACTATCCCCCTCTCTCTTCACAATTTCTATGGAAGTATTTTCATGTCTTTTGAATAGAGCCGTTAGGAGTAATCAGATTCCCTTTCACCCTCGTTGTAAGAGTTTGGAAATCACACACCTATGCTTTGCAGATGATCTGCTAGTGTTCTCTAATGGATCACCCACGACATTGGATGGGATACAACAATTACCCTCACAGTTCTATTCCATCTCTGGTCTTAAATGTAACCCTCAAAAGTGCCAATTGTTCTGTGTTGGTCTTTCTTAGGAAGAAAAACAAGTGCTATCTCATCAATTTGGGACTTTGGGTTCCCTCTATGCGAGTTACCTGTCCGTTATTTGGGCGTACCACTCCTCTCTGGAAAACTGACTTTTCTTGATTGTGATTGTCTTGTTGATAAGATCACTAAAAAGATTCATACTTGGAGCTAGAGCCCTGAGTTATGCAGGGAAATTACAATTAATTGATTCAGTTATTACTAGTGTATTCTAGTATTGGATGTCTATCTTTCTGCTCCCTTTAAAGGTACTCAAATTGATAGAGGATGCTTGCAATAGATTCTTTTTGGGATTTGATGGTAATAAGAGAAAGAAAGCTATTGTAGCTTGGTTCAAAGTTGCTTTATTAAGGCATGAGGGAGGCTTGGGAATTCAGGATTTTAAGACATGGAATAGAGCATGTGTAATCATGAACTTGTGGAATCTATTAGCTAAAGCAGGGTCTCTTTGGGTGGCATGGATGAGGAAATACAGGATGAAAGGAATGAGTATTTGGGCTATTCCTCCTAGCACAATTAGCACTTGGGTTTGGAGGAAGATCCTGAAGTGTAGAGCTTTGGCGCAACAACATATAACAGGAGCAGGGAGTCACTGGCATGGGATGGAATGGTTCTTGCTCGATATTCAGTTAAGCATATATTGGCTTCCATTCGGGTCCCTAGCCCAACTGTGTCATGGTTTTCTGTTGTATGGAGCAAGCCAATTTTCCCAAAGCACTGTGTGCTACTCTGGTTGGTAATATTGGACAGAGTTAGAACAAAGAAAAAGTTGGAAAGATGGGGACTTAAATGTGATGTTGGATGTGTGTTCTGCCGTGGGGGTATAGAGACTCATGATCATTTGTTTAATGGTTGTGCTTTTAGCAGGGTTGTGTTGAGAGAGTTTTTGCAAGGAGTGTGTTGTTTCTCTGATTTTTCCATATTGGGGTGCTCAGCTCACATGGGCAGAGAGCGCATGGAGCCGCCCTACTGATGCAGTAGTAGTTGGGAGACTTCTGTGGATAATGGGCATCAACATGCTTTAGAAGGAGCGCTGTGCAAGAGTGCATGGTGAAACTGTGGCAATTTATCCACCTCAAGTAGTAAAGAAGGTGAAGAAAGAATTCTCAATATTTGCCAGTAGCCAAGCCACGTTCCAGTTGAAGGTGAAGAAGGTTCTTGGAGATATAGTATAAAATGATGGTTTTATAAGAGTTTTCTGGTTTAGTTTACACATTGTAAAAGAACAAGTAAACTTCTTGAGAGGGAGGATGCGAGTTGCACCTCCCTGGGCTTCAATGCAATTTTTGATTAACCATAGTTTTTTTTTATCAATGTAGGATGCTAGTATTATGTGTGTGTTTTTTTATTTAAGCAGTTAGTAGGTTTTCTTGTTTAAATAAGGGTTAATACAACTGAAAAACCCAAACTATCAACAAAGTGTGACTTGTGTCCCAAACTATTCTATATGACATTTATGTCCTAAACTATTTTTCCGTAAGTTTTTTGACCGTCAATATTTAACAGAAAATTCAATCAATGTCAACGTGGCATTTGATATGGCTCCATCGATTCGTCTTAATCAAGAAAAATAAAAAATAAAAAGTTACAAAAAATCTCAAATCGTCTTAGTCACACAGTCGATTTGGCTCCTAAGTCAACATAAAGTTGACCATCGTCTGGTAAATTATTATCTATAACGTTTAACGAAATCGTCAGTACATAAATGACCCACAACTACAATACGTTGGGACATAAATGGGATATTGAATAGTTCGGAACACAAATGACACTTTCTTGATAGTCGATGTGATTGATCTGTTTCATAGTTATTTTTCTCGTGTATGTTTTTCCACAAAATTGATCCCACCCACCCTATCCTTCGATCCTACAATGAACTCGACATCGACAAATTGGTAACCTCATTCCCCTATCTTTGACACGTGCTCACATAGGGACAATGTGTTACTTAAGTGTGGTGGGGGGGGGGGGGGGGGGTTCACATTAATGTTTGCGGAATTTTTGTTATCGACTAATATTTCTCATGCTTTGAATGTTTGAATGAGAGACAATGTGCTTTTAGAGTGATTGAGGATGATGATTTAACACAATTTGACCACTTGGAGTCTTGTATGCATGCCCGAATTTTTTTAAATTTGAGGGCTCCAATTTGGATCCATTTCTTGCAATGCAATTACTTGCTTTGGATCATTGAATCTTGCTCCCATTATCTTGACCGATATTAACAATCGTAGTGCATGGGATGTCTTGAGTCGAAGTGGTTTTGTTTGATTCCTTGATGTAGGTGGGTATGTATGTTTGAAGAATGATATGTGAGAGGTTTGCATGTGAACGAACCCTAGTTCTCTTAGTTAGGCCATCAGAAAGGTGCTCAATTCTGTGTGTTCTCGCAACAGGCGAAAAAAGAGAAAGGAAAAAAAGAGAGAGAGTATAATGTGGGGTGTAGCGTCTAATGCAACCTTGTGTGGCAACTAGTTCTAGAGTAATGGGAGTGCATTTTGTAACAATGTATATGGGAGATCAGATAGCTTTACTGTATCCATTTCCATCTTTTCACTACTTCCATCATGCCATTACGTCACCTCATGGGCTGAGGTATAGGTAGGAGAATCTATCCCTGCTTACTCGACTAACGAGCACACAATAATAAGTGCCTAAATGCACAAACTCATAAATAGATGAATGACTACTAAACACTCCCAAGGCGACACTCTAGATAGGAATAAAAGGTTTCAAACAAAGTGTAGAAAAGAACTGTGAGAACACTGGTCCTTTCACCTACCTTTGAGAGCTTTGTTTTGCACCTTGCGCCTGTCACCATCATTTGAGAACATTAATGTCGACCTTTTATGAGGAAATCAAGCAACAACATGTAAAATAGAATGACCCTAGCGACTAGAAATCCGAATCCTACGAAACACATCAAGTGTGGGGGGATTTAGATTCCTCGAGTTGCATGATTTAATCGTATGTTTGCTTGGGGACAAGAAAATGCCTAAGTGTTGGGGAATTGATAACACCTAAAATAAGTGTTATTTAGCCCTCATTCTCTAGGCATTTGCGTGCTAAATCACCATGTCTAGGCCACATATCAAGCTAATTTAGGCATGTTTTCATTTCTATTTGCTAAACATTCATTTTGGCATGAGTTCGCTTGATATGAAGGTTTTCATGGGGAAATCGAGCCCACTTTGTCGTATTGTATATTTTCTAGTGTTTTTTTGTGGAATTCCAATTTATTTTGATAAAGGATTGATCAGAGTTCATCCGGGCATGATTGGGAAGCATAGGAGCAAGAACGCAAGAAAAATGATAGGTCACGACCCTTGACCAAGCCATGACCATGTTCGCGACTGTGAATAGTGGCCTAGAACTTCAGCAGGTAGCGAAAAGAGGGCAGAAAGTTTCAACAAGTGAATCATGGCCATGGATTTGTTTCGACTTATACTTCATACGCAATATCTGGTTGAGCATGCATGAGGTAGATTAAGCTTCCCACTACTCTATGATAGAAGATCTAATCCTCCAGTACTTCATCTCTCTCTCTCTCTCTCTCTCTCTCTTATAGGGTGACAATATATGTACATACCCCCCCCCCCACCCCACCCCGGGATAGAGATCCTAACCAGTAGTCTCGGTATAAAGAACCAATAGTCTCTCCATATGCGTAGCATATAGCCTAAAGTCAGCATACTATGAGGACCCTAATAGATCCAAAATAAATCTGTTTTGACATAGGGAAGAAACCTGTGGGAGAACTTATAACCTCTAGTTCAAGAAAATAAGAAAATGGTCCTAGCTCCTTAAGGTTCAACCCATCACATAACGCTATTGTTATTCCTAAACCACACCTTGGTAACTTCCTATAATGATCATGTCATCGACATAGAGCAATAACACAACAACTCCATTAACCATTGACCGCACGAACATGGAAGGATCATTTTGAATTTGATGAAAGCCATCATGAGTGATGGTTATATGAAAATTTTCAAACCACACATAAGGTACCTCCTTCAATCCATATAGTGAATGATGCAACGAAAAATCACATCAAACACCCTTTAAAGTACCCCTAGGGACACTCCATGCATATAGTCACATAGACATCTCCATGCAGAAAAACATTTTTCACATAAAACTTAATAACCTACCAAGATCGTGTTAGTGCAACTAAAAAAAACACTCCTAACAATATTCATTTTAATAACTGGAGAAAATTACCTCATTTAATACCATACTATTGCCAAAAACCTTGCCCGATAAATGGTCTCTCATAACAACCTTGGCCAACTGTGACGAGGAGGAGCTATAAACTGAGATAGTCAGAGTTATCTCAGTGGTGACTCTCTAATCCAACATAATTTCCTCCCTGATTTTCATGTTTAGGAGCGGTTAGTGGGAGCAGTTGGGAAATCTTCTAGGCGAACTATAACAAGTCCAATTTTGCATCTATCAAAGTACCCACTGGGGAATCCATCACTTGTTCTAAGAAAACAACACGGTGAGAAACCCACATTTATCATTCTTGAGGATAATAACACAAATAATCCTTTTTCAATTGCTTTAACCAATGAATATATAATTTGTTGTTTTGCGTCGAGCTTGTGCCTTTCCCTCTTCGGTCGAAGTACAGAAAACATTCAACCAAAGATATGCAACAATGAGTAATCTGGTAAATTGGAATATAAATGTTGATAACGAGACATCCCATCGAAAACTGGAGTGACATGTTGTTTTATAAAATAGACGATGGTGCTAGTGCCATAGAATTAGAAAACATTCGGGGAGCCCATTTTGTTGTGAAGCCCCTACACACGAGATCTAAGATAGTATGGCATTGTATGTGTAAATTTCTTATAGAAGGTTTGGAATTGAATTCTCCTCCATGATATGAATGAATGATCTTCACCATTTTGCCAAACTAACTTCTGATCATTTGAACAAAATCCTCTGCATATGTTATTAACTTAGGGGTCGTTTGGATGGAGCATTTCCAAAATGAGACAATTTGAATCAAATGTCTCATTTTAGAAAATGAGACAATTGTATGAGATATTTGTACAGAATTGTCTCGTTTGGTTTATTATTTATTATGATACAATTAGAATGAGTCATTTTCTGAAAATACACTTTTGCCCTCATTCTTTTACCCTCCATCTTCCTCTCTAACTCGTAATCAGAAGCCTATGAAATTATACACCAACAAACATGAACACTGAACATCACAATCAATATTGGGAAAAATCCTAATAAGAAACCAAATGACCCATAAATGCCTTTTGGTCAAACACTATCGAACAAGCCAAATTCCAATTAGAACATAAGCAAACCACATTCAAGCATTCAGAGATACAGGGGAAGAAAGCCAAGAAGATTGATTCGACAATAAAAAATGAGAAACTCAATCAGAAATCAACAAATTGTAAAAGCTAACTCTGGGTTTCATCTCCCATTAGATGGAATCAAGCAATCGAACAAGGATCGAAACGATCCCACATCCTATTCATCTTCACGCAGCAAACGTAGGAACTCGTTTATCGCCTAGTTCCTATACTCACGAACCTGATCTAGAGTCGGGTCAACAAGTTCTTGTACTCGGCCAGAATAGCGTCGCGCTTGGAGCAGGACCCAGAAAATGGCATCGTGGAGGACCCCCTGCGGATGAGAATCTCGCCATCGTCGACGGAGCGGCTGAGCTTGGCGTGGATGGAGCCAAGGCCGCTTGGGTCTCGAGCTTGCCTTCAGATAAGATATTGCATTTGGCGGCAGCCGACAAGCAAGGCGATGATGCTGAGGGTGTAAAAATTGAACGAAGGAGATCAACTGATCGAGGAATAGAGCGGCGGAAGTTGAAGTGGGGAAATTGCTGCAATCGGTGAGCTGGGTCTCGAGGTTTCAGAGCGGAGTGAGGGAGAGAGAAGAGGAATGAAAGAAAATTGAAAATGAAAAGAAAGGTTACTTTTGGAAGAGGCCCACAGAAAACGAGCCAATTCAGAAAACATACCACCAACCCAGGTAATTTGAAATGACCCAAAATGAAGCAATTAACATTTCCCCATGCCCAATCTCATTCATTTTTTGAGTTGCCAAATGAGACAATTTGAGCTAATTGTCTCATTTTGAGGCAATTGGACCACATTACCTCATCACATAGATCCATCCAAACTACCCCTTAGACTAATTATGGAGAAAATAAATCCAAGCATATCATGATACGTGAGCAATGAACAAGACAAAATACCAATATCCTAACCTTGAGGTGACGGGTGACGGTCTCCACAAGTCCATATGAACAAGATCGAATTGGGCATCATAAACCGTGCACTCAGTGAAAAGGATATTGTGATGCTTTTTCTTCTATACCTCTTAAAAAGGGCGAAGGTGAACTAAATTGAGAATTGATGCGTAGTATCATACAAGTGATAAAAGTCCTAGGATGTCCTAGGGTCGTATTTCTCGAGGTCTTTTAATGCACACCTACTCACAAAAACCATCATGGCATACACGAATTGAACAAGCAACAAGAAGAGTAAAGTTCGTAGGGGTTTTCAATTTATAGATGCATAAAAGTAAAGATACGTTATTGTAAAAGGCCATGATCTCCAAGACAATCATGCAGACTAGGGCTCATTCATATCATGCATCAATGATTCATATATTACAACACCATATCCCCTCTCTAATACCACTCTATATCCGTTCATGCTCCTTTTGCGATAAATATTTAACTAGGTAATGCATGTTTTTGTTTCATGCCATTACCTAATTAATGAAGAACACAGAAGTTAGGATGTCATATAGTTAATTGTGGGTTTTGACGTACCATAAGTATAGTCTATAGAATTGATTGTCTAACAATCAAGCATTGTTACTACTCAAAACATGGATGGTTGATCATTCCATCTCTAGTCGTGTAGCATCAATGGGGTATCCATAGAAAGTGATTTCTTGATGATCTAGGCAATACTAAGCACAATGCATATAGTAGCGTACAATATAATCATAAGCATCGATGACATTAAGAGCATTCATGCTATAGAAATATCAAAGACCATCATAAGCATCAACACAAGAAAGCATCCATCCATAATCATAGGCATTGAAATTCATAGACAAACAGAAGTATGAGATGGAATCATGGCATTCATTCACATAACAATAAACAAGATCACAACATAATACGCTCAATTTCGACTAGCTATATAAAGGAGATGGAAGGTACCACTATTGATGATGGCATCGTCTCCTTAGCTGCAGACCCCCCTACTTCGACTAGACTATGCACTTATATAGAGTTTTACATAGATTTGTGTGTTTGTAACCTTACTTTTACAATTGAGTCACATCCTCTATTTATATGGGAGAATCCGGCCCAAAACATCCTAAATTAAATAGGAAAGGGTCTCCTAAACCTACTAGACTAAGGAAATTTTGTCAACATGGCAAGGTGAAGGCGGCGGTATGGCGTCAATTTAACCTACCGCTCCGTTTCTTGGTGGGTTGGACCTTTGGATCTATTGACTTTTGTTTTTGACGATTTGGTTTGCAACTTGGGTAGCGGCGATTTGACCCATTGCTTGGGACGCCACTCTTTCCTTCTTCATATTGGGCCGATTCTTCCTCCTATGGGCTCCTCTTGACATATTCTAGCAAGTTCTAGTTGACTTCCCCGTCATTGGACCACTCCTTTCTTGTGGAAACTTCTTAAAATTCTCTTTATAGCTCGTTTGGTACTCCATAGCTCTTCAATGCTTGATCCAATCCTTAGGTTGCTTTGTGCCTTCACAACCATAAAAAAATATCCAGAAGGCATCAAAGAATACAAGAGCATTTCCTAGGTCTATTAAAAGCCCGTTGATCAAATGGTTGTAATTTAGACAAGAAAGACCATTAAAAAGACTAAAAATAATATTGATAGAAGGGGAAAAAGTATCAAATATGATAGTTGCAAACACGGTAAATAAAGTGTCATCAAGAAAAAATCTTAGTGGGCAACAAATTATAAAGAAACATTGACAACAAGCAACTTGTATGTGGATGACCAAGGCGGCAGTGACATAAATCCCAACTAAAATGAGTAATGCAAATGGCCATAAAGCTTAACATAATGAACCAACTAACCACAAGGTCTTATAGTATCCATAAACTTCATGAATTTCCAACTTTCAACCTCAAAACTATCTTCATTTTCAGAATCATCTAAATCCAAATAGTTGGAATCATGGTTGCATGAGACTCCCTCACCCTGCCTTGTTGCTCTTATTGGTGGTCGATATTCCCCCAATAAAAGAAATTTCATTCCTTTCTACCCTTCTCGACCACTCTCCCAGTTTTCTAATCCTGCACCACACACCCATGAGAGATAAATTTAATGTCACAAAAATCGTCAATGAGCTTACCTATATCAACCATATTAAGAACTAATTTTGGCATGTAACGAGTGTACAAGAATTTTTGGCAACATGATTTTAGAAGTACCAATATTTCCCATGTTATGTACAAGAATTTTTCACCATTTACTGGAAGACTAAGAGAAGAACTAATTTTTCACCGTTGATTTGAAGACTTAAATGCTACTGAATCCAACAATCACTAAGGGAATTTAACTGAATTTACTTCAGTGGCAAACGATTTATTCAAAGTAGTCAAAAAAGATTCTTAAATTATTTTGGTCACTAAACATCGAATGTGATCGGGATCCAGACTTGTGTATGGGTGCTGTGAAATCTAGTAATAAAATTCCTAGGATGCTCTAGGGTCGTATTCCTCAAAACCTTCTAATGGAAAACTAATCACACTAACCATCCATAACATATGAAATATGAAAGACTTTAAGGGGGTTTCATTTAATAAACAAGCAAAGCAAGAAGAGTAAAGTTGTTTAGGTGTTTCTCAATTTATGGATGCATAAAAGTAAAGATCCGTTCTTGCATAAGAGAGAAAACTCGAGTACTATCATGCATACTAGTGCTCAATCACAACATGCATCGATGATTTATCTATTGTAATACCTTATCCCTTTCTCTAAGGCTACTCTCTACCCATGCATGCACCTCTTGTGATAGAGATTTAACTAGCTAATGCGTGCTATCGCTTCATGACATCACCTAATTAATGAAGAACAAGGAATTTAGCATATCATAAGATTAATGTGGACTGCTACAAAATATAATCATAGTCTATAGCATCGATGATCTAACAATCAACCATTAAAACTACTTGAGGTATAGATGGTTGATCATTTCCTCTATACTAGTGTAGCATCAATGCGGTATCACTAGAGGGTAATTTCTTATCGATCTAGGTAGTATTAAGCACAATGCACATAGAACATAAGCATCGATGATAAAGAAGCATTCATACTATATAAACATCAATGACTATCACATAAGCATCAAAACTGTAGCATCCATACGTAGGCAAAATGCATAGATATTTACATAGACAAACACAAGCATGCTATGACATCATAGCATTCAATCGCAAAAAAAATAAACTAGCTCACATCTTCATATATTCAATTTCAACTAGGCTACATAGAAGAGAAGGAAGATACCACAATTGATGATGAGGGTAACGAAACTGGTTAACTGGATTCTAACCAAACCGGTGGCATTATTTTGTGTGTTTTGTTATGTTTACTTAAAATATAATATATTAATTGGAATATTTTCATAATTATGAGTGTGTATTAATATATTACTATAAAAAATTACAATTTCAACAACTTGTTACTATCTAATGGCATTGCCCACTACATAAGTACATAACATAAGAAACAATTCGTCATCATTCATCCATACGAAGATAACCACAAATCCACAATCCACAAAATAAGAAACAACAAAGGTCAAGGGGACAACATCAACTCACAAACACAACAATAAACTAAAGTGTTAAATCTAATACAAGTTCAAAATTAAAATAGAAATCTCTTACAACACCAGCATTAACATGACAAACACTAGTGCCTCACATCCACTATGACCACTAACTCCTCTATCGCCACTAGTACCTTAATCACCAACATCAACACGACCTTGTTGCTTCAAAGTAGTGAGAAGAATATCATTAGCATCTTCCTTCTCATCCTCCTCGTCCGATTGAGTGTCATCTTCGTTTGAGCCTTGTCTATCACCATCTTCTTCTTCCTCTACATCAATGGGTAAACTATGTTTTTTACCTTCACTTGGCATCTCTTACAACTTTCCGTACGAGCATAAAAGTTATTAGTGACTAATTGTAAAGAAATTAATTTTTTTAGAATTCATCAAATTGAAATGAATAATTGAACAATTAAAAAAAAATAACAATTGTGAACTCTTACCATTGTCATAATCAATTTGGTATTGATCTTCTTATTTGTTATCAAATTTGTCTGAATTCTTATCAATTTCATGCCTTATCCAATCTTCAGCACAATGCCTCTATAATGGTGGAGTTCAAGGAAGATATAAACGGACTAAGCACTCAACCTCCACAACTGAAAGCAACCTCTGAGGCAACAAAGGAGACCGAAACAACTAGGATATCCTCAACCATCTATCTAAGATTTTTCTTACTCCACCACAACATGATGTCAAACTTTCTATCATCCTCATCATCCTCATTAATAGCATCATTAACATTCTTAAGAAGATTTCTAACTCTAAACATCCTCAATTCTTCTCTTAAGTTGCTCATTTCTCCTCTTTTTGAACGCAACATCACTTCTTCCTACATAAGATAGAGAACATTATCACCAATATCATTCACAGTAAGAGAAACCTGAAAGGTGGGCTAAGAGGGTGGAGTTGCATATTTCAATTTGTACAACGTCAACATTGCTCATTGGAGCTTCAACCATCAACCGACATTGGTGCCTCTCTCTCGTGCGTGGTGGATTAATGTTGGTTGGTGGCACCTCTCTCTTCTTTATAGTTTCAAAGATTGTGGAAGAAATGG